GCTGTTATAAGCTCGTAGATGCAGTGGCCTCATCATGTCCAGAAGACACATGTTCACAGCGCTCCTCCCCATCCTTCAACCATGATAATCTGTACATTTTCCTCCTCTACAATGTTCTCTGAGCTTTGGGCAGAGAGAGTCTGATACAGATGTCTCATTTAGGGCTAAGCAATCTCCAGTCAACCTTTCTCCCTGACTGGTTGTGGGTCTCTGTATTAACTGCAATTCCCTACAAAAAGAAGCATTTCTGATGAGGTGTGTGACCTGTACTAATCTGTGTGTGTAAGGTGAGGGCAGTTTAGTGCTATGACCATTTAACAAAATAGCAGTTGTAAGTTCTCCTTAGGGCCTAGGGCCTCCCCAGTTACTGGTTCTTGGCCAGGTTTATAGTGGCAGATGGAATACAGAGACTTTGGCATTTGGAAGAGCCAACACAGCTTTCTTCATTGAGCTTTATGTTTGCAACACATCATTAGCAGCACTAGGGTTTGCAGGCCTGGTCTCTGTGTATAAATGGAGGATTCTCTTCATTTTGGAGGAACCAACACAGCTTTCTTCATGGGGCCTCATGAAGGATATGCAGCAGCAGCAACAGGCTTTGCAGGCCTGTTCTCTGCTACTGTTCGGGTTGGTTCCAGGGAGTGTTAGACAGTTTGGATAAAAACAGGCCCTTTGAATGCCAATCCAGCTGTGCTGGATGGAGTCCCCGTCAGTGGAAGGCATACAGTTCGTCCTTTATGTGATCTCACCCGTCCTTTCCGTGGACGGTGTTTACTCAGGTCTTTTCACCACCGTTCAGTCATTTGTCAGGAAAGTTTAGCAGTAGATTTCTTTCCAAATGAAATAGAATTGCATTTTTGAACCCAAATAAATTGCTTCATAACCTTGTTTATTTAACATGTATGGTGTGCTAGAAATGTACACAAAGTCTTAAAAATATAGACATTTTTCCCCTGTATCATCTAGACTTCAAAACAGATGTGATTTCAATACCAGTCTGAAAAATTATATTTGTTATATGTTATCTAGTAATGAAACTAAACAGATGTGCCTTTTTACAAAGAGAAGTATGCGCAGCCTATGGTCAAATTTGTCCCGTCAGTTTTCTCCACAGGAGACAGGATCTAAGATTTGTAATGCATTCATCCCTTTAATTCCTAATTGATGCCTCTTATGCTGTCATATGATATTATTCAATTTCCTTCTGGTCTGAAACAAAGGAAGATCTAAGGGAACAGTTCTGTAGGCCAGCTCAAGCTGCTCGGCTCCATACAAGTCAGATGTGTTGAAACGTTGCAAGAGTAAAGCTGGCAGCTTGTGCTTTGCCTCTGTTGACAGACATGTGAACACAACTGTAAGCAGGCAAGCCGTAGGGTTCACAGGCAGGCTTTCTAAATCCCAGTTACTTCTATCACTTGCTTATACTCTAGGGAGAAAATAAAAACAAATGTCAGACTTTTGTTAGGCATTTAATAAAGATACATGAGTTGGGTAGAATGTGAAGAGCATCGGAATGGTGTTTGTCTTTGTTCCGTCAACATCTATTTGAAGAAACTCTTGTGAGGCAATGTCTGTGCTCTACTCCCACACATTCTGATATCCAGACTCCTTTGTCTATGGGGGTGTGTCTGTCTGTCTGTCTTTTTGGCTGCTGTGCATATGCACGTACACATGCATTTAGATACACATGGTCCTGAGCATAAACTCCCAGGCCCTAGCAAGATGAAATTCTTCATGATTTCCTCTTAAAAGCTCCTCAAACAAAAACAATCCCGTCAAGAACACATCTTCAGAGCTTGACTGAGAAGTGTTGATGGCTGGAAAGGGTTTGGAAATAATGGCAGCCGCAAGTACAGCTTCTGGATATTTCCGTTCCTTGTTAGCTTATTGTCATATAAATGTGGAGGGGCGTTTTGTTTTGTTTTGTTTTGCTTTGTTTGTTTGTTTGTTTGTTTGGGCAGTGAGAACATTGCCATTTCTGCATTCAGGCTGCTAGAACTTGCTACTTGTTTTGCTCCTGCGTGACTGTCGGTAGTTGCTGGTACTCACTGGCCCTTCATGGCGTCATCTGTGTAATATAGTCACAGTATTATGTCTACACTGCATGTGATGGTGTGGCGAGTATGGAGCAGATTACAATGTAACTCGAGATTGGATTTACAGGTAAATTATATTTTTTGGTTTAGTCTTTCAATATGCTTCTTGAAGAGGGTTGGAATTAATCAGTGCCTCTAGGCCATAAGAGTATAGCTTCCTTAGCCTCTGCAGGAATGTAGCGATATGTATGGTGGACTCCTTCTTTAATTCACCATTGAGCATTCTCTGTCGTTCCAAATGTACCATGGTGACTGTTTCCATACAGCCCATGTCAGCAGAGAGCCACCTTCTGCTTTGCAATGGAAACACTGGAAGCACGTGGTGCTCCAGCATGGCTTTAAGTTTCCGGTCCTCTTGTCTCCACTTTCTAATTGCTGAGATTACAGGCTATGTCGCTGTGTTCCTTGAACATCTGATGTGTTTTAAAGAATTGAATTAACCATGTCATTTGCTACAACTATATATGAAATACAGTTGAAAATTTGATCTGTAGATAATTAATGAGGGCTTCTCCGCACCCTTTAAACTATTGGGCAACATTAACACACACACACACACACACACACACACACACACGTACAATTGAAGCAACCTGCAACATGGTTTGCCTGAGTCCTGAGTCTATATGTAGAATCTTTGGAATCTTAACAGGTTTCTTATTGGAGGCTTTGTCTGTCTGTCATAGCACTATTAGTGAAGGATGGAAGTCAAACAGAAATGGTGTGTAATATAAGATCCAATTGTATGACTCTATTCTATAAAATGTTTCAATAGGAAAAAATAACAGAATTAAAGCAAGGTTTTATACCAAAATAATGTTTTTTAGCTTATATAGAAGTGAGAGAGGAGAGAGAGAGAGAGAGAGAGAGAGAGAGAGAGAGAGAGAGAGAGAGAGAGAGAGAGAAAGCAGATAATTTCTTCTGAAATACCACCTAAAAGTGAAATCTTATGAGGCCCTCAGGTGCTGTGGCCTGGCCTAATTGCTTTCATAACTTCTACTGTTGCAAGTACCCTAGAAGTCAGTATTTGCGCATGGTATTTTTCTCTAGAATAGGTGAAATTTACTTGGTTTTGTGCATAGGTTTTTTTTTTTCTTAAAAAAATAATCTTATGTATATGCATTGTTCTCACTACCCTCCCTGATAATTATGAAGTCCTTTCAAAGAAAGGGAAGGAGGAAGAAAGAGAAGGAGAGAAACCAACAGTAATACAAATGTTAAGCAGAAGGAACAAAATACTAACTCCTTCAAATAGAACCTGAAAAAAAAATACTTTAACTTGGAACAGCACAGAACAAGTTCCTGTTCAAAATGGCAGCAACCTGATTTGCTTTGCTCTTTAATACCAAGTCACAAAATAAGCTTATGAAGAATAGAAGCACTAACTTGTATATGACAAACTCAGAAACCGTCCATAACTCCAAGTCACAGAACACTAAAGAAGTCATGTAGAACTAAGAACAGAAAAAGCTAAGCCTACACGCCTGTCAAGAGGATAGTAACGGTAAGCAAGTATTGTTCGCTCTTCAGAATTCCAGCTAGTCTTTGGACCGGACTCGTTAGTGCAATTACTGAAGAAGGGGGGAGGTGGAAGAGGTCAATTGAAAGTGTACTGACCAAAGCCATCTCATTACTTTCTTGTTTCCATCCATCACCATGTTCAGGGCCTGTGGGAAATAGAAAGTGCATACCCTAGAAAAGAGCCTTGGTGAAACCCTAGTACAGAGAGCACAGAACCTCTGGTGGGGATCAAGTATGGAGACTTAGTGGAAGTGTGTGTCTTCTCAGAAAGTTCACAATCTACCCATACATCAGAACCTACCCAACCACCATAAAGCCAGATGACCACATGATTTGTCTGTAGATATCACTGGAACTAATTACTATTGAGCCATGTTGGTGAATATCAAGCCCTAAAATCCTACAGCTTAACGAAGTTAAAATTGTTTTACTCATATAAAACTCAACATAGTGGGCAGCTTTCCCTTGTCCCAGAGCTCTGGAGCATGTGGCCCTTGTCATCCTCGGGACAGACACTGTGATGAAAGAGCATCAGAATCTACCCGCTAAGTACCGTGACACCAGCAGCCCATTGTTCATGAAAGGAGTCAGACATCACAGGGTGGCCACTAACGTATCTGCAGCTCTAAGATGTATGCTCGGATTTTCATGTCACCTGCAGGGTTTATTTTAATTAAAATTAATTTCAAATTCAAAAGCTAACACTGGTTACCAGTGTATACACCATCTTTGGCTCAAGGCTGTTCTAACCACTGAGCCTCTGGGAGGTAGTAATAATTCCCAGATCATTCCCTCTTGACAGTTATATTGGTGGGTGTCACAGGACCAGCTCTTCAATGGTTTTGTAATAAATCATTGACGTATAATCAACTGTCTCGTGCCTCCCTCACAAATGTTTGATTTCAGACATTTCTTCTGTCTTCTGAGAACTGCTTTGCATTTGCTTTTTGCCTAAAAATAATTGTCAAGAACTCTTTTCTTCCTAATAACAACATTTGAGAGTGTCTAATATGTTTCATAGAAATGTAACTGCAAACTCATCTTTTTCTCACTATTACCTGGTGGTTAATTTCTGGTGTTCACTGAAGCAATTTTTGTAAATTAATGAAAATATGAAATGCTTTATAGAAAATTTCATAGCATGTCAGTTGAAAGCAAATTATCTAGGAAGCCTTTTAAAAGAGTCTGGTTGGCAAATGTGTCTCATATATTTTGTGAAAGGATATAATTCTGATTTAAAGATCTATTGAAAATATTTGTTCTTATTTGACTATAAATGTATAGTTTAATCTGCTGGTGGTGTGTCTTGTTTTCATTATTTAGATTCTGATAACATTAAGTTTGGTTTGAGTTCCCTTATGGTTTGTTTGGTTCTTTTCCTAGAGTACCCGAGTGGCCTTGGACCATCTGGAGTCTGTGCCTGAGAAGCTGAGCCTGCTAGAAGATTTCAAAGACTTCAGAGTGAGGAAGAGTTGGCTTGTCTCTTTCGTTATTTTTGTCTGAGTTAGAACACTTGACATCTTCCTGATGTGCAAGGAAACTTGTGGGAAGGGGAGGAAGTTCTGAAAAACACTGGGGACTTTTAACAGTGCCACCTTACCAGAGTTCACTGACATTAGTGAAATCAGGACTGAAAATAGCCAAACTTTTGTATTAATATAACACGGGAAAATAGAAACATTTGTCTTACCATTAGAAATGTCCTTCTTCCTGTAAGCTGTAATGATAATTTAGAAGATCCTAAGCATTCAGGGGAAGGGGGTATGATACATTCAGTGACAACAGTAAAACAGAGGTACGTTCGGTTTTAGAGACACCACATTTCACGGTTATTCCTCTACTGTGGCATGTAAAACCAAGTTCATAATAGTTTAGAGTTCATTTCTTCACATGACCCCTGAGGTTTGCAGGTGTACAGTATAGCCATAGCAAGTAATAGCTTATTACAGTATCAACATACTAGATATAAATAAAATATCAAAGCTAAATTGACGCAGGACTCATGATGTGAACATGTCACCTCAATTTCACATTGGCCCTACAAATTACTAAAATTATGGCTCATATTTAGATTCCCTTTGAATATAGCATATCACTTGATTATATAGTTAAGTAGGAAGTGTCAGCAAGCAACAACATGAGTGTGTTGTAATCACCAACATGATATAGATCTTATACAATAATACAATGATTATTTTTGATGATTCGATAACCAAACAGTTTTTCAGCATGATCCAAGAGTGGTTTGACACATCCTGAAACTAGACAGTTGCAAATAGGGTAAAATAAGCGTTCCTTGGTACGTTACTAAAGTGTTGATTCTCTCTTAAGATGTAAATGTGTATTTACAGTTTCAATCCCTGTCAGTTAGGACACCAGCATGCAGGACCATGCTATTTCCTTTCTCCCTCATATGACCCACTGTGGAGAGTGTTTTACCACTATCCGCCATCCTTACTTTTCTTTCCTCTGTAGGAATAAGTGTCACTCAGATGAATGGAGGATGGGTGAGAATCAGATGTAATCTTAGACCAGGACAAGCCTGTAGAGTTATGCTTCCAGGAACAGCTCACTCTTCCCCCAGTGCTCTTACTGAACACAATGTTTATGAGTGTAGCTCAGAGTCATGTTCTCTCACCAGAAGGTCTATTATTGGTATTCAAAGTCTTGCAATTGTCTGTAAGCCTGGCTTATACATGTACAGACTACAATATGATTAAACACTTCATTGAATTTTTCGGGGAGAATATGTTCTCAAGTTCAGAATTCTACTTTTGGATTCATTAAAAGTAAAACCTGTATCCTGAAAAGGAACATAATTGCTAGTTATTTTTATTATAACACATAGGAAGCATTTTTATAATTATAATATAGATATTATTTCACAGTGTAGCAAACAGCAAAGTATATTGTACTTTTTAATATTCAGAGAGCTATTTTCCCTATTTTACATAAGAGGAAATTGAAGTTTAGTGTATGTAAGTTAGCTCTGAGTGAGGTCTAATTTGCCTCTTCTTCTCACTACTGGTTCTATCTTGAAACCCAGTCTACATATCATGTGTACCACAAAGCCATCTATAGAGTTAAAAATAGCTCATTTAAATCACTTTCCTGAAATAAATAGATACAGCCTCAAGTGAAAATATAGAAATCCCCCATATTATTAAACATAGATTATATTTACATGTGTACACACATATACAAGTATACTTATACATATTTGCATGTCTGCCAAATATTGAATGTCTAGATGGTAATCATAGCTATTGCCATGTTCTTTCGTTTCTCTGAAAATGAAGCGAAGATTAAAAAAAAGAAGTTCCTGAACATATTATTTTCTTAATTTCTTTGTTCTCTAAATTTATATGATTATAATGACTAATTAAATATTAAATTAAAAAATGTATGCAATCCATGCATACATATCAGGTACCTACAACTTTCTATAACTCAGTATGATGTAAACAAGAAGTCAAAGAACTATGTGTTCATCTAAGTTCACGTTCTTGCTTCAGATGGCTGCATGTCTCAGTGAATACTTAATATAAATGGAAGGACATGGATAGTGTCATCTGTCTGGGTCCTTTCCATGGTACCACCACTAACACATATGCAAAAAATGTACTTTTCAAGTGTACTTGTTGATAGTCCCATAGCTACGACTGCATAGAAACTCTGTCCTATTTTGATATGCTTAACATTATTCTTATTTAAGTGTGATGCATCCTCTCACCCTCCTCCTGGCTATTCCTCCTCTTTTAACCCCATATTGGGAGGAAAAAAAGAAATACGGATGACTGTCATCTGTATTTACATATCACTTACTTGATACGGTGGGAAGGATATGGTGCTGTGTTCAACCTAAGTCTGCCACAGATCGCCTAGCTCTGGCCAAAGCATTGATAACTTCATTGGCCTCTGGCTTTCTTCCCTTTTCCCTTTTTGTCATGACAGTGAAAACCTTGAAACTGGAACAATTCCCCTTCCTGTTTGAACCATCAATGAGACGAAGGTTCTTTGAGGGTATTTCAGACTCTCCCTACCATAGATTAATTGTACACACCAAAATCATTAACCCTCATTTTCTTCAAAGTTGTCCCCCAAGTATTAATATCTAAAATGGTTATCACAGCTAATTGCCATGTTCCTTCATTCCCCTGAAAATGAAGGGAAGATTAAAAATAAAAGAAGTTTCTGAACATGTTGCTTTCTTAATTTCTTTGCTCTCTGAATTTGTATGATTATGAAGACTAATTAAATATTTAATTTAAAAATGTATGCAATCCATGCCCCTTCCCCAGCTGTGGAGCAATTGGTAATTGTTAGCAGTTGGAAAGGGTCAGTTTTCTCTAAGTATATCACACCTATCTTATCACTGTGGCCATGTACAATGTGGCCATTTTCTCCATTTTCTTGGTTACCCATTTTTTCCTATATGTATCTTTCTAGGTATTCATTGCAGTTACCTTCCTGTATGTCAGTATTTTCTTACCCTAATTTCAATCCCTGGGTTGTTTGTTTGTTTGTTTGTTTGTTTGTTTTATGACTGAATATATTGTCACTCTCTTCAGACACACCAGAGGAGGGCATCAGATCCCATTATAGATGGTTGTGAGCCACCATATGGTTGTTGGAAATTAAACTCAGGACCTCTGGAAGAGCAGCCAGTGCTCTTAGCCACTGAGACATCTCTCCAGCCCCTTCAATAACTGAGTTTTCTTTCATCCACTAATTTCCAACCATTTGTTGCTTTTTTCCAGGGTTCCTCCAGTTTATCTGAGAAAACTGATGGCAGATACTCTAAGTACAGTCTTCACGGAGATTCTTTTCAACAGCGCCGAGATGACACCAAGCACAGAATCAAGAGCTTTAGGGTAATATTCCTCATATACCTTTTTTTTCGGGGGGGGGGGGGCTCAGGGTGCTTGGATCATTAGCCATCCTTAAGTCCATAACATAAGAAGCAACCACAGCAGTGTTTGTGTCAGGGTGCTTGGGAAAGAAAAGATTCCACTTGATATATAAAATAATTTTTCAATTCCATAAGCATATGCAAAGATGGTGCTTTTCTAACTCTTCAATCCATGAGTCCATGCTATTGTTATGATAGCATATTGTCTATCTGTGGAAATTGATGCCTCTTATGAAATCCTGGGCTAGGAAAACCCTGGTCACTTGGTTGGTCAAAGGTATTGTAAATGATTGCTCAACTTCATGGATAAAACAAGCAGCTCTCAGCACTCAAGTCCCCTTGAGGTCCTGTGCTCTTAGCCTGTAGCCTTGGCATATCTAGGTACTCTCTTAGGTGGGCAAATTCCACACTAGGATTTCTGATACATAAGTGTAACCAGAAGGACTTCTGATATATAAGTGTAACCAGCACATAGATGCTTGAGAACATTTGATTGTTTGACAGAAAGTGTACTGTTCCCAAATTCTGCCCCAATATCCATTGAGGGCAGACAGTTAAACCCAGTTGTCCCTGAGTGATCTTAACCCAGGACCAAGTATCTTGACTTGAACACTGTGGCATTCAGCCCGGTAATTTTTGTTGCAGGAGCTATATTATGCATTATAGGATGGTTGCCAATATCCCTAATGTCTAATCAGTTTAACATCCCCCCTTTGCTGCCAGTAGCACAATCACACCCAAATTGTGATACCCAAAAGGATCTCCAGGAATTACCATATAACTCTTGCATGGCCAAATTACTTCCCGAATACACACACACACACACACACACACACACACACACACACAGAGGGGGGGGAGGGAGGGAGGGAGGGAGGGAGGGAGGGAGGGAGGGAGGGAGGGGATGTTGATTCAGAGAGAATCCATCTATAGTCGGAGGTGTACTTATATTACAAAAGTGTCTAACTTACATACTTTAACGTTAATGAATTTTCTTTATACTGTATGTATTCACTTACGGCAGCCATGTAATTACTCCTAAGGAGCCTCCGTGCTCCTAATGTGACTGTATAGAATACCCAGTGGATAGAGAGACGGAGCTCATTTCAGAAAATCCTCCTGAGCTTACTTGTGCTGCATTATTGATGCCTCCACAAGTGAGAGAATTGCTCAGGATTCTGTTCCTTTTTAACCAATTTTATAGTTAGAATTATTAGCTCTAGTGGTAACCTTTTTGTCTCGTATGGCAGTTTTTAAATCATCTTCCAACATTCCCGTAGAGTCCCATACATTCTGAATTATTCATTTCTCCTTCAATAGAATATGATATGTAGGCAATGGGAGTTAGTCATAATTACTAATTATTGAGGATGGTAGAACAGACTCTTACAGGTATTGCATGTTTTTTTATGAAGTCATACCTACTCCTTAAAGCAACTGTCAGATTGACATTATTTGTCCTCCTATATTACTGAACAAAGGAAGGTTACAGAGTAGTTAAATGTTTCAGTCAGTATTTAAAGCTAAGTCTACTTAGATGCAGTAGTCTATGTTCTTGACCACTGTGCTATTACTTAATATGTTTAGACTTCATATCACTCACAGTCACAGAATGTAGGACTATATTTTTAATGTGTTGGAGAAGTTTTCTCCAAAACCACATGATTCTATTGTGTAGCCTATTACCAGTTTAACAGAGGTCCAGATCCACATTAAACATTTAAAACAGCATTTTCCAATGCAGCATGCTTTGCTACCCAGGAAATCTGTGCTATCTTCTGGTGTCAAACTGTTATAAATCAGTGCAATTTTCATAATTGCATTTGGCAAAGGCATGAATGTTTAACATGTGCAGCAAGTAACTGCATATTTCTGGGTAAAGTTGTGTTTGCAGCTGAAGGCGAAACCAGGCCTGTGTCTGAGCAGGGTTAAACTTTGGAAATATAAGGAAATCAGCTTGAGAAATTTGGTATAAGTACAGCAGAGGCCTACACCATCTACTGCCCCATGGCCATATTCCTGAATTAATCCTCTGTAAACATTTTCACATATTTATCCGTTCTTATGATGAATATATAGATCATCACCAAATTCAGCAGTTGCCTACCCTAAATAATGCAATAGCCTGACGGTTTTGTGAGACTGTCATGCCAGTTATGGACACCAATAGTCATTTTGGCAATAAATTATTTAAAGAGACTGAAAGAAGTAGCCTGTGCTAGTTAGATTTTAGTCAACTTGACACAAGTAAGAATCACTTGACAAGAGGGAACCTTAATTGAGAAAATTCCTGTCCTGACTAGTTTTATGTCAACTTGACACAAGCTAGAATCATCAGAAAGGAGGGAACCTCAATTGTATAAAAGACTCCATCAAATCTCTAGACTCTTGGCAAGCCTCTAGAACATTTACTTAATTAATGATTGATGAGGAGGGCTCAGCTCACCATAGGTGGGGCCACCCCTTTGCTGCTGGTCCTGAGTTCTTTTCCTTCTTTTTTTATTCTTGTACTTCATTAATTAATTTCTTTATTCAGTTTACATCTCAGCTGCAACTCCCACTGAATGAAGTGCCTGCTATGTAAACATGAGGTTCTGAGTTCGAATCCCCGGTGCTCCCATGTGCACAGGTCCTGGGTTCTTTAAGAAAGTCGGCTAGGCAAGCCAGTAAGCAGAACCCCTCCATGGCCTCTGCAGCAACTCCTATGTCCAGATTCCTTTCCTGTTTGAATTCCTGCCCTAACTTCTCTCAGTGACTTTTACCTGGAAGTGTAAGAGAAAATCAACCCATTCCTCCCAAAGCTGCTTGAGCCTAACTGAGACACAGCTAGTTCTGGAGCCTTATTGGAATACAGCCACACTCATTTGGTACATGTTATCTAGGGTTGCTTTTGTGCCTCACTGTAGGGTTGCGTTGTACAGAGGGAAAAATATGGCCCATAAATCCTAAAATATTTACCACTGACCTTCTATTAAAAAAAAAAAAATTCCTAACTAGAAAAAGGGAAACTTCATTGTCTTCTCTCTTCCCTTATACACTGTAAACTGTTTTTCTTTGTCAATGAAATAAGTACTTGCCAAGCTTTTTGGAAAGTCATTCATCTCATGGTTTACATTGTGTGTTATCTATGTGCCTAGAGTGTTTTTAGGCACACATGTTTTTGTTGTGTGTTGTCTGTGCCTAGAAAGGTTTTAGGCTCACATGACTTAAATTAGTGAGCCCTCAGGGAGCTTCCCTTCTAATTGGAACTCAGAGAATGTTCCCATTTGTTATTCTGTTGAGTCTAGATTTCAATGAACATCAGATTTACTAACATATTACAAACCCATAGCAGTTTAAATCCTTCTATAAACAGTGACGGAACAGAAGAACAGTGAAGGATGCTTCAAAGGGCTCCCAATCAACTTTTTCTGGGATTTAGGACAGAAGTGTTGAGTTTTGTGAAATATACTTGAAATGACAAGGTGCGCAGAAGAGTTTTGTTCACGTCTTAATTTGGAAGAAGTTGTTCGCATTTCATTTGCAGAGTCCTATATTGCTGTTGACCAGTAAGTGTTGGGATGGCAGGACCATGTTGGCATCTGGCTTCTCTCATGTTTTTCCTGGTGTGTAGGAAAACTGTGCAGCATCTCAAGTGAGCATACCCTTGCAGAGAAAGAAGTGTGAGCAGGAAGTAGGCAAGTCAGATTCTCATATGGGCCAGGGCCAGAGCTCCTCTCCTGTTTACTCCTGTGACAACCAGCAGTATAAAAATGACCCAGCTTCTAGAAACCTGTGGAGAAGTTGAGCAGCCCCGTATGTACCATTTTAAGAGCATGGCATAATATAAAAATATGATACTATAATAATGTGCTAAACTGACCAAGCTAACTGAACTGAGCCTGATCTCAACGTTTATATTTAGAATTCAACTCAAAGCCGAGTCCAGCACACTCTCCCTGATTCTCTGTAGACAACAGAAGTATTGCACGACCTCTTTTCCGTCTAGCCTAATTGAGTTTCTGTAGGAAATGCAGTCTTCCTCGCTGTCCCAGCTGTTTCAAATAGAACAGAATGTCCACAGCGAGCCAGTAACACAGCATCACTAATCTAAATTCATGGAGGATCGTGGTTTGCCCGGAAAAAAAAATCTCCATTCATTACCTTTATCCATACTAAGTATATGGTTTTAATTAACATTGGGATTTTTTTTGGTAAAAATCACAGAAGGCATACCCCTTTTCCCGTTCTTCCTCTTTCTGAAAAGAAAACCATATGTTTTTTTTTTTTTTCACCTACTAGCTGAAGAGTTGGTGTGTAGCTCCTATTTGAAGAAGCAGATGTTTTGCAGGATTAGAGGAACGGGGTGTTGATAGTGGCTTTCGGAGGGGAAGGCATTACGAAGGGAAGGCAGTTTGCCGAAGCCCTTCACAGTGTTTGTTCAATGTAAGCATGTGTATGATATAAGTCCCCCGGCTTGCTCCTGGAAGTCATTTCCCCCTCATTGAATCTCTCTAATTTGTTTATGGCTTGCTCATAGCAATTAATGGCATTCAGCACTTTCCCAGGTCAGCTATTTTTGACTTAAATCTGCAACCCCAGCTTTTAAAACATGCTGTGTACAACTCCTCGTGTAATTCAAACTGTAGGTGATGCATAAACATTTCCGATTTCATACTCTAAAATATATCACTGGTGTGTGATTCATGCAGTTTCCTGGACATTGCTTGGGAATAGTGGGAGCAACCATGAGAGAGGAAAAGGCAGCAGAGAGCCTTTTATCCCTGTTATGCCATCGATAGCCACCTTTCCTCATCTTTGATGAGAAAATAAATGTAAATTGCTATGCAAATATAGAACTATGCTTCCCTCAACCCAGCCAATGTGTCACTCTTTGAAGAGCCTTACCCTTATGTGGAGTGGAGGTAAGATGTTAGAACAGATAGAATACAATAGTGGGAGGATAAGTAGATGGGGAAGACG